CAGTTTCAGATGTCCTTCCAATAACATCTTCGCGAAGACTTTTCTCCACCTCTTTCATATCAAATTCAACCACATACTTCGCCGCTGAGGAGTTTAACTGTTCTGATAATTTTTCTCGTTCTAACATTTCCTTCCAGGTTGCAAGCCTTTCCCGCCAATTACCTACACTGTCTCCAATTTCACCTATCATAGAAGAATGCAATAGAGGATTAGATGGTCAAAAGCACAGGTTACCAATGATAGTAGATGAGGGATCTAGAAGTGCTGCTCTGAAAGAAACTTGATTAGTGAGATAAGATTAGGTCGTCAAAAACAAAGGTTTCGCACAATAAATCACTTCTTGTTGTATCTTCAGCATGCCACTACTAAACAAGTATCACCTAACGAATGTATACTGACCAGAGACACCCAGATCTTGGCTTAGTTTCTTCTTTGCCTCTGTCTGAATCCTAGCATTTCTACCAATTATTTTCTTGAGAGATCCCTCTGTGGTCTCTAGATCGTCATCCCACGCATTTTCTCCAACATAAGAACTATCGTGGACAAGTGTTCCATCAGGCGCTTCAATGAACCTTTTTAATTTCAAGCCTTTAGGTGTTGCTTTCCTCCACATATTTCTCTTGAACCTGAAACACTAGAATAAGTCAGGACATTCTACAAAATCAAATAAACAGAAGTTCTTTTAGTCTTCCCACTCTTGACGCTTTAGATGCCTCATTAGCTGAGTATTTACTTGTTAAAGGATGATACCATAGTTTGAATATGAACCATATTTTACCATGTCCCAGTAGAGAAAATTACAATCGGAAACTGAGGATTAGGAAGCACCTACTTTTCTATATTTCCAGGAGATGGCTCGGGGATCAAAGCCTCCATAAAAGACTCTGTTAACTCTCTTCTCTCTCGTTCTACCCGAGGAGCTTGGATGGCAACATAAACTCTTTGACAAGAAAGTAACAGCGCAAAAGCATATATGAACAAGGCAGCAACTCGTTTACCGTCCCAATTCCTGATGTCCTGATACAATACATCTTCCCTCATTAAGAAACAACCTAATACACTAGTATATGTCGCTAGAATAAGCGTAGTTGTAGTCTCCTCCAAAATTTATGCTTCCGTTAAATCAACAACAAAATAAATAAATACCATACGTTTGTCCCTCAATGTTTTAGAACACAAGCAGAAGTCTAACAATACTTGAGAATCAGAAATTTGATAATTACGTTAAAAAGCTGAACCAGCTTACCTTCCAATGCTCCCACTTGTTCCAATCAATAAACGAAGGCACTGTCTCATTCTTAAAGCGAGTCAGCTCGTGCTGGCCCTTGTGCACACTATCCTTAACTCGAGCCACATACTCATTCACTTTCCCACTTGCTTCTTCCGAGTCAAACCCAATTTCTGTCTTCACAGATTCTCCAATCTTCTCCCCAATCCGCTCGGCACCAAGGCGAATAGACTGAGCCAATCTCACCCACGAAAAGCCTCCATCGCTATTAGATGAAGACCCACTACTACTTTCAGACGCATAGACTCGAAAGAGCTGTTTTTTCCGGGTAGCTCCCAGTCCATACTTGGCGGGAAACCGAACAAGACCAAAACTTTTTGATCTTTTCAACAACTGAGTCGATGAAGAGATAAGCGGATTCGGTTTATACGAAATTGCAATCTCCATGAATGAAATCACAAGAAAAAAATTAAAAAGAGAACAAAACCAGACGCATTTGAAGATTTTTCCCGATTAAAGAGCTCTCTCTGAGAAAATTACTGAAGGAAAATGGTGAGTACCAACCATTCAGCTCACTCGACTCTCCGGCAAGACTTACGCTTCTCTCCGGTAAGGAGGTTTATCTACACTGATCCGTCGTTGAGAGTGTCCTAATACTTCGAAGGAGAAAGATGACGCTTAAACTCAAAGAGGCTCGAAGCCTATTAGTTATATAATTGGGCTAGCCCATTAAGGTCCATCAGCCCACTATCCGAAAAATAATATATTTAAACCGTGGAATCCAAGGAGAGACACAGTGGCAAAAAGGGTAATTATAGGGACATTTCTTGGGGTGTTGTCCAAGCTGCTTTTATATAAGGAAGGGATATTGTTCTCTCGCTTCTCGAAAGATCCATTCACCAACTCTTTATACCAGCCTCTGTAACGTTCGATCATCTTGTATTTCATTTCAACCACTCATGTAAGTATATTCTTTCTTCAGATTCCGATTGTTTTCTTCGATTAAGTTTTGAGCTAGATTCTCTAGATCTGTTTCACCGATTTGGTTGATTTCTCCGTCAATCTGAACTCGCGGTGTGCATCTTGTTGTTTGCAGTGTTTTTAGTTTGTTTTACGAAGAATCAACTATGGCGACGAAGAGAAGCGTTGGAACTTTGAAGGAAGCGGATCTGAAGGGAAAGAGTGTGTTCGTGAGGGTTGATCTCAACGTTCCTTTGGATGATAACTCTAACATCACCGATGACACCAGGATTCGTGCCGCTGTTCCCACCATCAAGTACTTGATGGGTAATGGATCTAGGGTTGTTCTCTGCAGTCACTTGGTATGATATCTTATCTCAGTTCTCACTTCACTACTTGCTTATCTGTTGTAATTTTGGTGTGGGAATTTTGATCTGATCTGTTTATCCGGAGAGCCATGCGTATAAGAAGAGTCTCTTTGCATGTTAGGATGTAGATATAGTATTCTTGTTTTTCAATATGTTCATTGACTCTATCGGTTGATTTTCTGGTGTTGTTTGGGTAATTGTTTTAGTAAGTTTACTTGGATATGTTTATACTCAAGTTCAATTGGATGATGCTGTTGAATTAATGGATGTATCTGATCTCAATTTATGTTTCAGGGCCGCCCAAAAGGTGTTACTCCTAAGTACAGCTTAAAGCCTCTTGTGCCCAGATTGTCTGAACTTCTTGGTGTTGAGGTTTGTTCCTCTTCCTCTTCTAGACTTGCAAGGTTTCTGAACATTAGCTTTTAAAAGAACACTGTTCTCACTCTGTTTGTGTTAATAGGTTGTAATGGCAAATGACTCTATTGGTGAGGAAGTCCAGAAGTTGGTTGCAGGACTACCTGAAGGTGGTGTTTTGCTCTTGGAGAATGTGAGGTTCTACGCCGAGGAAGAGAAGAATGATCCTGAATTTGCAAAGAAGCTTGCTGCTCTTGCCGATGTTTACGTTAATGATGCCTTCGGAACTGCTCACAGAGCTCATGCTTCCACTGAGGGAGTTGCCAAATTCTTGAAGCCTTCAGTTGCTGGTTTCCTCATGCAGAAGGTATTTAAAATTTGCAGCATAAAGAGTATCTTCTTAGATGAGTCTCTTTATTTTACTGATCAGACTATTACTTGTTTTATTGTGTCAGGAACTTGATTACCTTGTCGGAGCTGTGGCAAACCCCAAGAAGCCTTTTGCTGCCATTGTTGGAGGCTCAAAGGTTTCAACAAAGATTGGTGTCATTGAGTCTCTCTTGAACACAGTTGACATCCTCCTGCTCGGTGGAGGTATGATTTTTACTTTCTACAAGGCACAAGGACTCTCAGTCGGATCTTCCCTTGTGGAGGAGGACAAGCTTGACTTGGCAAAGTCACTCATGGAGAAAGCAAAGGCCAAAGGTGTCTCTCTCTTGCTCCCAACCGATGTGGTTATTGCTGACAAGTTTGCTCCCGATGCTAACAGCAAGGTAACTATCACAGTCATTGTGGTTGACTCTCAATGGGCCATGTATGAAAGTAAAACATTTAAGCGTCTGGTCTGGTCTCTTTAAAGCTGACACATATGACTCTTGCAGATAGTGCCAGCCACTGCCATCCCTGATGGCTGGATGGGTCTAGATATTGGTCCAGACTCCATCAAGACATTCAGCGAAGCTCTGGACACAACCAAAACCATCATCTGGAATGGTCCCATGGGTGTGTTTGAATTCGATAAGTTTGCTGCTGGAACTGAGGTATGAGCAACTAAACACATATAAACACAAGTTTTAGTCTCACTTTTGTCTAAATCCATTTGTCTTCAACATGTTTGTTAATCATCTGTCTTCAACATGTTTGTTAATCGGAGAAACCCAACTTAACTAACCCAATCTCTTGTCTTGTTTCACCATCAGGCCGTAGCAAAGCAGCTTGCAGAACTAAGCGGAAAGGGAGTAACCACAATCATTGGAGGAGGTGACTCTGTTGCTGCCGTCGAGAAGGTTGGTTTGGCAGACAAGATGAGCCACATCTCTACCGGAGGCGGTGCTAGTTTGGAGCTTCTTGAGGGTAAGCCACTTCCAGGAGTCGTCGCTCTCGACGAAGCTTGAAAATCCTCACGTTGGATTTCATCGCTATTTTGTGTTGTTATATGTATAACAAGTCGTCTGGTTATCTTGTGACCAGACGAGCAAGCCATTATTTATCAGCTTGAGATTTTCGTCTACGGCTCTCTTTTTATGAGTTTTTTAGTTTGGAGCCTTTTTTTAATAATAAGAGATGAAACTCTGATTGACGACAAAAAAAGAAAAGAAATGAAACTCTGATTAGCAAACTCCTCCATACTTCAACCAATGATTTGTCTCTTGCCTATAATTGTCCATTTAAAACGAAACAAGATCGTTGGGACGCATAATTGGCTTAACATGTTTTAGAAAAAAAAAAAAAAAGAAGATTCGTATTCCATCTTATTTGTTAACAACTAAAGGAGATATAAAGAAAATTAGAACACCTTTTACTAAAGAATACCGTGTGTTCTCTACGCTAAGCGGCATACACCTATTTTTGGAGGAGCAACTTCATATGAAGTCCGCTCCATTAAATCATCAGTTCGATAATTCTTAGCTAAATAGTTTCTATAGAGTCGATTGTTATTGAGTTCTCATTAGACAAGTTAAAGGCCCAGAAATTGCCCAATAACGACAAATAACGACATCAGAAATCGTCCCACATCGGATGGAACAGAAAGTAGATGTGGAAGGATTCACATATAAAATGCATTGGTGCACTCACTTCAGAAGTTATGGAGCCGTGTGGTGAATACAAAGCGAACTATTCTTTCGCCTTTTACTAAAGAATACCGTGTGTTCTCCACGTTAAACGGCATACACCAATTTTTGGAGGAGTAACTTCATCTGAAGTTTGCTCCATTAATCCCTCAGTTCAATCTTTAGTTGATTAACCATTAGTAATAGTATACAATTACTTGACAGGAAAAAATAATGAGATTATCTGACCAAAGATTGATGCCGGTTCTGAAGTCTTCAGGAGCGGTTAAGTGAACCAAGTGCTGGGTTCAACTCATAGCGATTATAGATCGATTTGTTATTTATTTGTTGATAATTTATTTCGATTATAGAATCCATTGAAGATCGATTACTCAACGGAAGGTTATCAAGTCAGTTAGTACTGCGGTTAACTAGTGGGTTACTAAACTCAAAGTTATGATACTTATTAGACGTAGCTCGTTTAGTGTGATTTTGAAGAGATAAGAATATATATTTGGCATTATTAGTTAGAAGATTTATGAATTTGTTTGTTTTTGTATTTGCATTTTTCGGTTTTCTAATTCTAATATGTAGGAATCTGATAGAAGATTTTATTCTGTACCCAAAACCGAGACGTTCCACTAATTCTCGATACCGGTTTACCCACTAACCGGCTGAAATCGATCCAGACTTTGCTCCGATGGCAGAAAACCCTTGACGATCAAAGAAAGCCGTCTTCTTCCCCAGACAGAGTCTCTTCCATCTATCTTTAATCGGAGGAGGATTTGAAATCTCTTCAGATCACCGGAAGTTCTGTGAGCTTTCTCTCCCGTCTAATCTCTCCGACCAATCCAAGTGAAGGTGGGCGGCGGAGTATTGCCGCCTAATTCTTATCTCATTTGGTGTTCTTCATTTGTTAGTCATGGAATCCAATCCCCTTCTAAACCCCTAATTTCTGCATCTACGAACTCTGCAACAATGAGATTTGATTTCTCATCGGCTTCGCATTTACTATGAAACCACAGATGTTCTTTCGATCAGTCATTCAGTTCTATTCAAAGCCGTCATGGATGCAACGTTCCTACTCTTCCGGTAACGCCGAATTCAATATCTCCGGCGAGGTCATCAGCATTCTAGCTAAGAAGAAACCTATAGAGCCTGCTTTGGAGCCGCTTGTTCCGTTTCTCTCGAAGAATATCATCACATCGGTAATCAAAGATGAGGTCAATAGACAATTAGGATTCCGTTTTTTTATATGGGCGTCGAGAAGAGAGCGTCTCAGGAGCCGAGAGTCTTTTGGTTTGGTCATCGATATGCTCTCTGAAGATAATGGTTGCGATCTATATTGGCAGACATTGGAGGAGCTTAAATCTGGTGGCGTCTCTGTCGATTCTTATTGCTTCTGTGTTTTGATCTCTGCTTATGCTAAGATGGGTATGGCGGAAAAAGCAGTGGAATCGTTTGGAAGGATGAAGGAGTTTGATTGCAGACCCGATGTGTTCACGTACAACGTGATATTGCGAGTCATGATGCGAGAGGAGGTCTTCTTTATGCTGGCTTTTGCTGTGTACAATGAAATGCTCAAGTGCAATTGTTCCCCAAATCTATACACGTTTGGTATCTTGATGGATGGATTGTATAAGAAAGGGAGAACGAGTGATGCACAGAAGATGTTCGACGATATGACCGGTAGAGGAATTTCGCCTAACAGAGTTACCTATACCATTCTCATTTCAGGTTTGTGTCAGAGGGGAAGTGCTGACGATGCACGAAAGCTATTCTACGAGATGCAAACGAGCGGTAACTATCCTGATTCCGTCGCACACAATGCTTTGCTTGATGGGTTTTGTAAATTGGGTCGGATGGTTGAAGCATTTGAGCTGTTGCGGCTTTTTGAGAAAGATGGTTTTGTGCTTGGTCTTCGAGGTTATAGCAGTTTAATCGATGGATTGTTCAGAGCTAGGAGATACACTCAGGCATTTGAGCTGTATGCAAATATGCTGAAGAAGAATATTAAACCTGACATCATTTTGTACACGATATTGATTCAAGGGTTATCTAAAGCCGGTAAGATTGAGGATGCATTGAAGCTGTTAAGCAGCATGCCAAGTAAGGGCATTAGCCCAGATACCTACTGTTACAATACTGTTATAAAGGCTCTATGTGGGAGGGGACTTTTGGAAGAGGGTCGGTCCCTCCAACTCGAAATGTCAGAAACGGAATCCTTCCCTGATGCGTGCACACACACAATTCTTATCTGTAGTATGTGCAGGAATGGGCTGGTTAGGGAAGCTGAAGAAATTTTTACGGAGATTGAGAAGAGTGGTTGTTCTCCTTCGGTTGCTACGTTCAATGCTTTAATTGATGGACTGTGCAAGTCCGGTGAGCTCAAGGAAGCCAGGTTATTGTTGCATAAAATGGAGGTCGGGAGACCTGCTTCCTTGTTTCTTAGGCTTTCGCACAGTGGAAACCGGAGTTTTGACACCATGGTTGAATCCGGTTCGATTCTCAAGGCATACAGGGATCTTGCACATTTTGCTGATACCGGGAGTTCGCCAGACATTGTTTCTTACAATGTTCTTATAAATGGGTTCTGCAGAGCAGGAGACATTGATGGTGCTCTCAAGCTTCTCAATGTGCTTCAACTAAAGGGATTATCCCCTGATAGCGTCACTTACAACACTCTCATCAATGGACTTCATAGAGTCGGCAGAGAAGAAGAAGCTTTTAAACTCTTTTACGCTAAAGATGATTTTAGACACAGTCCCGCGGTTTACAGATCGCTCATGACATGGTCATGTCGGAAAAGAAAAGTCTTGGTGGCTTTTAATCTATGGATGAAATACCTTAAGAAGATATCTTGTCTGGATGATGAAACAGCTAATGAGATTGAACAATGTTTCAAGGAAGGGGAAACCGAGAGAGCTTTAAGACGACTTATTGAATTAGATACCAGAAAAGACGAGTTAACTTTAGGGCCTTACACGATATGGCTTATCGGGTTATGCCAATCAGGGAGATTTCACGAGGCCTTGATGGTGTTTTCGGTTTTAAGGGAGAAGAAGATCCTTGTAACACCTCCGAGCTGTGTCAAACTGATTCATGGACTCTGCAAAAGAGAACAACTTGATGCTGCAATAGAGGTGTTCTTATACACTCTAGATAACAACTTCAAGCTGATGCCTAGAGTTTGCAACTACCTCCTAAGCTCCCTCCTGGAATCAACAGAAAAGATGGAGATTGTTTCGCAACTTACAAACAGAATGGAACGTGCAGGGTACAATGTTGACTCGATGCTTCGATTCGAGATTTTGAAATATCATAGACATAGAAAGCAGGTGCTGATAGATCTTTAGGTAATGAAATGATTATTAAAGGTTTATCTACATCCGGATTCATAGGCATTAGTTTTGTGGAGAAGAGAAATATGAGTTTTGATTCGAATCTCTTTACCTTAACACTACATTAGAATAGAAAAATCTCTGGAACCAGAAGCTCTTTGAGGAAAAGGAAAAGGAAAAATATGAGGTTTATACGTAAATGCTTTGTATGCTTTATTGTTCATGAAGTTTTCCTTATCTTTATTGTACACTGATTTGTTTTGTATTATGATGTTAAATTTCTTTGAAATAAAGACTAAACATGTCTAAATCTTTCTGGTTTCCTTCCAAGACCTGTTCCAACATTTTTGACCCTCCCATAAATTATGTACACAGCTTGTTTGTAAGATAAGGGAGCTTCCTGAATCCTTTTGGTTAGACAAAGAGACATGAATCAATCATAAATACCTCTTGATTCTTCGTTGTGACTTGGCTTATCAGATATTGTTCGAATCACAAGATTTGGCCAAAGTTTCCTGAAGTTGACATCAACAAAAAGCATCTGCTGATTTCAGGCTGGAAAGGGCCTTTTAAAAAAAATCCCCGGGCCATATGACCATATCTGTCTGACGTGGCATCACCAAGGGCTTTCCTAATTCAGTATCTCAGTGCCAAAACGACAAAAGATCACAGTGAGGCCGACTAATCATGGGCCTGACCGTTGATCCACGTGTCTTTGTATTCCACGTCCAAATCTCAACCCTTCGTTTACATATGCCATGTCATCATCTTTTCCACCATTTTTTTGTGAGTTTTATGTGTGAGTGTTTTTTTTTGCTGTCATTAATTTAGAAACAATAATCTCGTTGTATCAGTATCTCTATTTAATATGCAAAAATCAGTCATTAGTTTTATTTTAATACCGTTGAAAAAATGCAATAATTCATAGGTGTGCCGCAGCAGATTTTAACCCATCAATTTTATAGGAACAGAGTGTGTCGTCTCTCTACAACAGTCGTAGGCACATTAATACTATAATTGCCTAAAAAACTCCGTTGAGTAGACAAAAAGAGTGCAATTCCAAAGCATTTCTTATTCTTATAGATTTTAAAAATAGGAAAAAGGTGTAAATCTGCGAACATTTTGGATTCTTCACGTTTGTTTATATTTTGGGTTGGCTCTACACCTACTCTCAGAAGTCATAAGCCAAGCAAAGGGGGTTTTAGGGTTTTTGACCGCGAGCCAGATCTCTTTCTCTTGTTTCTCCCACTTCCGAATCAATGGCCTTCTCTTCTCTCCTCAGATCTGCGGCCTCCTATACGGTTGCCGCTCCTCGCCCTGACTTTTTCTCGTCGCCGGCGTCTGATCATTCTAAGGTCAGAGACGACGTTTTACCTTTAATCGATGTTATGTTGGATATGTTTAGCTTCGTTTCTGATTCTCTTGCGTTTCTGTTCGATTTGATTTGCTTTTAGCTTAGGTCGTGCTTTGATCTGCTTGAATTTCCTTTTTACGCGCCTTTGGTTACTTTGAAGAAGTTGTTTGATGTGATAAATATTACTTGGAAGTTGTTCTGAGTTTCTTAGCGTAAGCTTGTGACGTTTAATCCTATTTTTGTCTTCGTTCTTGCGTTTTTTGTATCTAGTCTCGTTTAACGATGAATTTCAACTTGTGAGGTTTCAAATCTTATTTGTTGCTCTTTTAGAATGTCTAATGGCAATACATTTGGAGTTGTTTATTTTTTATTTAAGTTTTTCCAGGAACTTTGCAAGAAAACAATCGTATTTATTATCTTTTGTCACAAATTTCTCAGGTGTTGTCAAGTCTTGGATTTAG